TAGCTACAAGCTGTTAACTATGTGTCTGAAGAGGATGGTACCACAGCTGCAAAAATCTCAAAAACGTTTCCTTCTACTCATCAGTATGTTGATGTATGTTTCGCTCTCTTTCAACCAAACTTTATTAATCCATAAACTGTTTTTGTGGGGTTCCTGGACCATTTGATGGTGTGGTGAACGTGAGGGATGATAGGCAGTGCTGGATGTCACGCACATATCATTGTCATAGAATCATAGAATCTTTGGGTTGGAAGGGACCTTTAAAGGTCATCTAGTCCAACCTCCCTGCAATAAGCAGGGACATCTTTCACTAGATGAGGTTGTTCAGAGCCCCGTCCAACCTGACCTTGAATGTTTCCAGGGATGGTTCATCTACTACCTCTCTGGGCAACCTGTGCCAGTGTTTCAGCACCCTCATTGGGAAAAATTTCTTCCTTAGATCTAGTCTAAATCTGTTCACTTTTAGTTTAAAACCATTACCCCTTGTCCCATCGCTACAGGCCCTGCTAAAAAGTCTGTCCCCATCTTTCTTAGAAGCCCCCTTTAAGTACTGGAAGGCTGCAAAAAGGTCTCCCCAGAGCCTTCTCTTCTCCAGGCTGAATAACCGCAACTCTCTCAGCCTGTCCTCACAGGAGAGGTGTTCCACCCTTCTGATCATTTTTGTGGCTTCTCTGGACCTGCTCCAACAGGTCCATGTCTTTCTTGTGCTGAGGGCTCCAGAGCTGGATGCAGCACTGCAGGTGGGGTCTCAGCAGAGCTGAGTAGAAGGGCAGAATCACCTCCCTTGACCTGCTGGCCATGCTTATTTTGATGCAGCCCGGGATTTGTTGAAAAATTCTAAGATGGATGATAGTCAGTTGAAGCTTTCACTGTAGGTAATGAACCTGTGCTTGAATCATTTAGTGTCCAGGCTTTTGAGACCCTTGTAGAAGTCACAGATTTCTCTAGATCATTTCAGGAGAGAAGGCTGAAACTCAACTTACTGCTCACTGTGGATCCATATTCACATATAATTGAGTTTGGACAGTATGGACATGCACGGTCAGTGACAATCTGTCAACATGTTATCCTGTAAAATCCTGAGGGTTTATCACCAACGACCACAGAGCAGAAAATCAGTGTTGGGCTCTGTTCAATAAGTGCTTATCATTGGGCTTGGTAAGAGAATATAAAATAAAGAGTATGCCTGAGCTCATCCTGGACTAAAAATGTGTGGGTACACCACACACAAGAGAGCAACACTCTGTGATGGACTGTGACAGTGCAAAGAACATACTCTGCCTTATGTGCATTGTGCGCAACATGCACTACTGTTGTTAACATGGCCTGTGCACCACAGAGTCTACCACAGCTGCTGCTTTCAGTTAAATTAGTGAGAGATGTTTGGGTGGTTGTACTGAAGAGAAGACACAGTCCTCTTATGTAATTACAGAGGGAGGAAGGCTAGTAAAATATTTGTCTATGGTAGGGCAATGCCATCTAGTTACCAGTCTACCAGCTGTCAGGCTCCTGACTCACATGCAAACTTGTCCATTTTATATCCTCTGCTTTACAGCAAAATGTCAAAGTCCTTCTAGGTCTTATGGGCTTTTTTTAATACCCTTTTATTGCAATGTTTCCTAAGGGCACCTTTAAGGTAGTATTTCCAAGGTATCGATGCTGCCTGGCTCTTGAGTGCACTCAGTGGTATGAAGGGACCCTCTTCAAAGCCACCCTGAGTGCAGGCTGAGGTCTGAGAGGTCTCCAGATCTTGAGTGTCAGAAACATTTGTGGTGAAAACCCAGGTCAGACATGCATGCCTTTGGGAACATTGGATATATTTATCACTGGGGTGCGGGAGGAGGGAGGGGACAGATAGGGAATGTTTGGATTTTGCTGAGGGTTTTTTTCTTCCTTTAGGTGGAAGGTTTCTCTGTGTTGTTCAGTAATTGCTTCAGGTGGGAAATCATTTCCCACCTTGCAGCAAAAGTATGCCTGGCAAGGAGAGAAGTGTTACAAGAGCAGCACTTCATACAGTTGATTTTCAGTCAAAGTCAAGTCCCTCTGGGAGCAGTTACAAGTCGTGAAATCTTTTAGCAGGCTTGAAGCTGCTCTGACTTTGGGGGCTGAGGAAAACTCTTGCTATCTGCAGGAGCTGCATAAGTGACATCATCACGTCACTTCTGCCTGGACACAGCTTAGGTGGGCCCTTGAAGCTCTCAGACCCAAGCTGGAGCAAGAAAGGGACCATGCTGCCATAGTAAAGCAAGAGGCTTACTGTAAAGAACATGTGAATTACTTAAATCAAGGAACTGTTTGAATGCTTCTGTGACACATTCTTCAGGCTTAGAACTCCCATTTATTTTTGATTTATAGCATCAATATTCTCTGAAGAAATAATCTTCATGACATTAATGAAGGAATTTCAAATTAATAAGTATCAAAAGGGACTAAACAAAAGTATTTTAGCAAAGCACATATTGATGGAAATCTGGCAAATGGATGCTTTTGGAAAAAAGTTTAAAAGATCTATCAACCACAGTGCCTTTATCTGGAGGAATCACAGTGGCTACAAAATATATACATGTCAGAATCTATTGATCGCTCAGATGTAATCATTATGAGTTAAAACATGTAATAGTGTATTGCATACTGTATTGTTCATGGCTGGTCTTTGAGAAGGAGCCCAGCTGTAGCCACACAGGGCCAGTATTTTAGAATCTATATAAATGACTATGTGTTTCATATGATCTGTGGGAAAAAAACTCTCAGCTGGTGTAAACAAGTTAAAATATTTAGGCTATCCTCTGTTGTTTTTTTTCTTTAAATCAGGGACCCATATATTCACTGAACAGTTTAGCTTCTCATCTGTCTTTTTTTTTTCTTTTAATCTTGTGCCAGGTGTTTAAGAAGCGGGCAGCAGTGGTATTTCGGTAACTTGCTTTCAGCATTATTTGCATACCTTTGTGTTTTTCCGTGGTGCTCAATGCTCAACCATGGTGGGACTTCAGTCAGTAAATTTTATGTGCAACTGTTGAAGTAATTTTATTTTTAATGAGTCTGTTCTAGGGATTTTAATGTCCCTTTATAAATATTTATATTTTCAATATGTCTTCATTTAATTGAAAAGGTTCTTCACATTATTTTCATACAACTGCAGGTAGTAGGCGTAATAACATATCAACACTCTGACCTTTTTAGCTTCTGGATTTCTATTAGTTCATCCCCATTTTGCTTGTCCATATATATTATATTTCAGTTTGTATATTATGTTCCTGTATGGGCTGTCAGAATGGAGGGTGTTTTCCATACAAACACCTTAATAAACCGGAAAGGAAGAAAATATGCTATTGCATACTAGTAGCTGTCATGCAGACTGTGTCTTGAGTATTGTAATGAGTCTGCACTGCTACTAGAAATCCACACTGAAATAATGTTTGATGTTTGCCTGTTTCTCAGTCAGAGGGATGGTCTCAAGTCATATTCGTCAATACGGCAACAGCTTCTGGTATTCATGAAGTTGTTTTGAAATTAGTTCAATTATTTATATAAAAACACTGCTCATTATGATATCCTGTTGCCATCACCGTTGTTACAAATGTCTTCCATTAATTTCTTCTACCTCCAGTGTCATTTTCCACTGGTGTAAAATTCACCAATGAATTATGGCTATGAAGAGATGGGAAGCAATCATTGTTAATTCCACGGAGAGCTTGCTGGTGCAGGCTCCTTCCCCTAGTAATCAGCTATTAATGTGATTTCTACCATTGTACCTTAATAAGTCGAGCAGCTGGCTACTTACTGATTCCTTGGGAAATAATTCCACAGTCAACAGGCTTCACTGAGAATTTTTTACATGATGCACCACCTTCTTCTTTAGTCTCCTTTTTTCAATTTCTTCTCATTATTTATAGGTAACCTATCTGTCTAATATCCTTCTTTTTGCTTATTTTCCATAGCTATAGTTAGCTGATCCAAGCATATTTATTTCTTTTAGCTTCATGAATCTATTGCCTTAAGACCCTATTCAATTTCAATTTCTGATCTCCCTTTGCTTTGTCCAGAACTTTCTGGCACATAAGTACAAAGCATGTAGTACTGTATTCAGGTTTGTACAATGAAAGGGTATAATTTTTATGCTCTGTGATTTGGTATATCTATGAATATACCTCAAAAACATGTGTAAAACTGAATGGGTTGAATATCCATCCATGGCACTTCAGTGTGAAATAGATGGTAAACAGGTCTACTTTTTGCCTGAGTGAAGCCAAACCAATGGGTCAGAAAGCACCTTGCAAGAAATTATGGTGGAGGACAGTATAGATACTGAAATGTCCCATGACAAAACCCTGATGCTGGCAGGAAACCTATGTCTGTCTACTATAAAGAGGCTATTTAAGACACAGTATATTCTAGTACAGGCATTACTAGCTTATTTAAACCAGCATCAAGAAATATTTTAAGTTTCCTCTCAGAAAGATATTGACAAAGGACCTTTAGGATTGGTTAGCATGGGCAAATCATTCATAGGTCCAAGTAATCCTGCTGATCTAATGATATTGGTTTTTGCATTGTAGCATTTTTATTCCTTTCATTATATTGAAAAATCTGCAATTTTGCAAATAACTCCCTTTAGTTGGTGAGTCTGCTTGCTAAAAGAGAGTCCTGTGTAACACAAGTTAATAACACATCAGTAACTTACTTCAACTTCGTGTAAACAACGTTTTGCTGCAGCTCAAACATAATCAGGAAGACGCTACAGCTGAAAAATACTACCTTTTAAGTTTTTGTTGAATAGGTTTTTGACTTTTTAAAACTCTGATAGTTGTTACATGCTTCTAGAAGAGCCTTGTGGAAACAGGATGTTCTTTTAGTTCTCTGTCACTTTTGAAGTACTTTGGTATTACTGCATGTGGATCCATATATGATGATATTAAAAATATTAATTGAACTGAGTGTAGTATTCTTGTAACTCAGTCTTAGACTGAAACTTAACAGCATGTATGATTTTGTTTTCCCAGCTTATACAAATCTTTGTCCGAAGGAATGAGCCTGAAGGACCAGTTGAACTGTACTTTTGGTACTTCTGAAGGTGGACTGCAAGGCAGGGAGGATGTTGTGACCCTTACCTATCGCCAGATTGAAGATCTGGCAGCTCAGCTGCAGCAAGCTCGGTCAGAGCAAAAGGACACGGAGCTGAAGCTCCAGAAAGCCCTAGAGGCTTCAGGGGAGGCCAATGAAAAAGTTCAAAAGTAAGTCACTTGCCTTCTTTCGAGAAAAATTACAGTTGAAAACCAAATGAAAAGGTGTTTCTTCTGGTATTTTGTCTGTGATTGAAAGTGTGGCAGCACTCAGAAAAGTTCCTTTAAACGATTCCTTCTTTGTCTGCCATTCAGCTCGTCATTTGCTCAGTGTGAAGCCGATCGTTTTAAGTTTTATAGTATTATGCAAGTCAGTGTGCCTGTCATTACTGTTATGGAAACTGCTTCCTACATATGCAAGACACAGAGAAAGTGCTTCCATCTCCTATGAATGATTTTCACTGTCCTTTTACCCCATGGCAATCCTGTGGCATCAGAGTATTTGCCTTTAGAATTGCACGGTAGAATATTAAGGTTCTCATTTTTGGGCTCTTACGTATCTGGCGAGTTTCATGCCACGGTAGATGCTGATGGGGTTGTTCGGGGGTGGCTTCAGAATCTCACAGAAGACAAAACAAGTCTCTGAGTCGGTGAACAGGGATTGTATTCTCTTTCCCATTGCGCATTTCCCGGCTGAAAGGTTACTGAACTCCAAAAGCTCATCTCTACTGAGGTCCTTATTGTCATGGTTGTTATTTATTGCTATCACATAAGCCTTTGAAAGTCTGATTGCTGGGACATAGGCAAAGGTGTAGGCAGAGCCTCTTCACAATCTGACACTTTTCTTCTCTGCAGTACATTCAGCAACTGCAGAATACCCCTCTCACACCCTTCCAAGGTGGTCGATGCTGAACTGATGCAAATTTTCCTGTCAGTCCATATTTGTCTTCAACTTCAGTGTCCCCAGCATACTTCCAGAGTAGACAGAAATTGGCTTAGAATATATTGCAAGGACCTAACAAGAGTTCTTCCTGTTAAAAAAAAAAAGCATGCTGAGTTATCCTATTAAAAAATAAAGAAATTATATTTTTATATTTTTAGTTTATTTGTAACTACATAAAATATAGTTAAGATCGAGAGAGAGAGATGTGAATACATCTTTTAAGTGATCTCTTTAAAACCACCACTGGTTGTTTGAGAACCATTCAAATCTTTATTCTGAACACTTAGATATAGCTGAAACTTCAGCTGATGCACGCTTGATAAAAATAAACCTACAAAAAATAATTACAGCATTTTAAAGAGAATATTGTCTAAACCTTTCTGTACATTGTTTATTGTCATTCCATTTCATTTTATTTGTAAACATTTGCTAACCATAGATACTAAAGTGAAGATTGTTTTTAGCTTTTGGGGTTTTTTTAGTGAAACTGTCTTGTTTAATCCCATGTAACCAGGGTGGCTAGAGTAGAAGTGCAGCCACAACCTGAATTAAAGTGGTGGTGATGCACTGCTATAGTGAAAAGAATTTATGCAATTTAACATGCTCAGCTACTTGGGAAAATTTTGGTCAGGTTAGTTTTCATTATTGCTAAGATCAGACCACTGAGCCTATAGCAAAATTAAACAATTGGGTGAAGTCTTTTGATGACAATGGCATGCCCTTTTTACCAAGAAACTGTGGAAATGCTCTGTGCGTCTTCCCAGCACCCGGAGTCATCCACCCCCATCTTATAATTCAACCTGCAAACAGATTAAGCAGCTGAGTTTGTGGAAAGTGTGTTTACTTTGAGCTAAGAACCCTTGTGTGACACTATAGAGATTCCTCTGACACCTCTGGGAGAGCTACACAGACAGTTCGTACTCATCAGCAGGGAAACCGGGCTGAGAATTCCCAATTTCTTTGTAACCTCAACTGCTTCACACAAATCAGTGTTTGGCAATTAGGCAGGAACTCATTTGTTAGCTTAGCTTTTTATTTTGAAGATGTTCTACATTTCAAAAAGAAACTGACAATTTATAAACCTGTCAACAGAAAGGCTTCTTGGTATTAATTACGGTAGTATTAATTACGGTAGTATTAATTATTAGCACTGTCTTAAGAGGATGCTGATTGTGATTTAAAATGTGACTCTACAATTCGTAGCCTAAATAGAGCTCTAAAACATCTGTTTTCTTGACTTCTTTTAAATGCTCAAGTAAAATGGATTTCTGACGTATGAAGTATTTTTAGCAGCTATATAAAGTAGTTTCTCAGTATTACTCAGTAAAATATCTGAATAATGTAGCAACCATTAAAAATCAGAGGAGGAAAATAATTATGAGCTTCATTAAGAAAGAACATAATTAGAACAATTAAAATAATGTTGAAAAAGGATGTACTTTGTAGCTTCGCTGACCACGTCATTTACTGGCGCTCAGCTATGCCTTTGCTAATCTGTTCTCTGGCAACACTAAAGGATTTTTTCAATATTCTTAAAAACTTCAGTGTTTGCATTCAGCACACAGAGCTTCAGATAGAGATGTAATTTCTCCATGGCGTTGCCATCATGTCAGCCATTTGTGTACCCACCTGCAATTGTTGCTTTCGAAACGCGAGATCCAAGTCCGAACAGGGGTCCTGTGTTTTCCGTCAGGGCACAAAGCATCTTAGAAATTTCTGGGTCCTATTCCCGTATGAAACAGGCAGCTGTGAACCAGAAGGGGGATATATTGGAATCTGCTTATAGAGAACTTGGATATGGTAAAATTCTGTTTATACTGAAGTAGAGTGAAATCTCACATGGGGTCACTGCAGCGAGAGACCGGAATTGCGAGTGTGTGCTCTCGCCGGTGAGGATGGGTCGCCGTCCTAGCGGGGGGGTGGTGGGAAACAGAAAATGTTGGTGCTCAGGGAGCGACCACACGGATTTAGCAGCGTTTGTTTGAATCTATCTTGATTTTGAAACATTAACAAGATATACACTAGACTTCTAAGAGAGCACTGTTCTAGCCTATAAAGCACATACACATTTTAACTGTGCGGTGTACGTAAATAAATACACGTATGCGCACACGTGACGCAGTACATACTTATGCAGCAGGAAGTTACTATGATCTGCACGGCGCTTAATATTTTTAACCTAGGCTCTGCAGAACGGCTGTGACCGTCATTTTCTGTATTTAATGAATGTTTTCTAATTCACGGTTACGAAGAAGGAATTAGGGCCGCGGCGCAGGAGCGTCTGCACGTGTGTCCTGCCGGAGAAGCCAGCAGCCAGCTGGTGCAGCCCCAGCAGGGAAATGGGGCTGACCTGGAGAAGGTGGCTGGGAAAGCCTGCGAATTAATTAATGCCTCCGCCAGCAGAGGAAGCAAGACATTTTAAAACTGTCCTTCCCGCTGGAACCTCTGGGATTGAGGAGTGGCTACTGATGTCAGTGAGATCAGAGGAGGTTATAATGTAATACCAAATCAATATTAGCCAATTATCGGTAAAGGCTGAGGCCACTTTTGATGTGTTTTTTCCAGGAAATGTTCTATTTTTCTGCAACAGCTTTGCAGCTGGAGTGAATTTTAATGCAATTTGTCTATTGAGGGCTTCTATTTTTTCTCACAGTTTAATGATTCTAGTTCAACAAAGCGTAGCTGTCTGTGTGTTGCACACTCACAGAGCTGTGTGTGTGGAAGCGTGGAGGGTGCGCGTGTAGAATTTCTGCGTAATCCTCTAAAAGTAAACACAAATCCATAAAGTAATGGTGCAATGCTAAAATATAGAGGTATGAAAATAAGCATAAATGGTGAGAAATACGCTGCTTGCGCGCTTTGTCAAGGCAGTTCTTAGCATGAACAAAGCAAATATATGAGTGATGCAGAAGAGAAATTCTTACATTTGTCTGTAACTGTTCATTAAAGACAACTTTTCTTTTGATTTTGGGTTTTCTTTCTTTTAAGGAGGAAGTCAGGAGAGTTACAGATTTGGATAAGATACTTCAGTGGATTGAGTACAAAAGAAAACTAAGCAATCTTCTTAATAAGCAGATAGTTTTATCAAAGGAAATCACTGTCTCTCTTAAAAGAAATACTACCCTTAATAACATTTGCTTTACCTCTTAAGATGTGATTTTTCTGGCCACCTAACTTTCATTGTTACTGGAACACACCCTTTTTTGAGTAGTCCTGGATTTCCCTCCAGCGTTTCCGAACACGCTTTCTCTGCTTTCATAGTTGCTCACTTAGTTTTGTTCCTGAGCTGATGCTGGTGAATAGGTCGATCGATGACACCACAAAAACAACCAGTTCTTACCAGCATTCGACACAGTTGAAAAGAATACAAAAAGAGAAGGAAATAAGGAGCAAGCATTTATTAAGCAGTTAGAGTCCCCCTCTTCTGCAAGTAAAAGTAATCTGCCTTCCAAGCACGGGAGCTGTGTGCATTTCATGTCAACGTCCAAGACGTTCTCCAGTGCTGGCTGGAGGGTCTAATCTTTCCCAGAATGATCCAAGCAGTGCAGTTCAAGAACAAGAATGAATATTTGAATAATCACACCACAATGTGAGGTGACCCTCCGACAGGGGACTGACCAGATACACATATGGATTTTGGGAAGACGCTCTGATGCTCTTTTTTAACACAGCTGTGAGAAGAATGTGGCTAAGACCCAGTGGTCTTTCTGGAGTATAGCTGGCAAAGGAAACCATGAGGAGAAGCGAATTTAACACATGGGTGTAAGAGAGTCCGCTTCATTGATGCGATCTGAGGGGAATGTCTAATGACTGGAAGAATCAAACTTGGCAATGAAAACACAAAGCTCTTTTCATCAATTCAAACGCAGACTCTAAAGCTGCAGATGGTTACCTCCAGCCTTGCCTATTCAGTGCGGGGTTGTATAAAATGGCACTTTGGTGAATACTAATAGATCAAAACAAAGATTTAATAACATAAAGATGTTGTGTTCATTTTTAAATGAGGATCCAGGTCAGTGTCTCAGAAAAGAGTGAAATAAGTATCTTTATGTATGGGTCTAAAGTCTCTGGAGATTTTTAACTGCAAACATATCTTTAGTGTGCAGATTGTATTCAGTACAGCACAGCTATGCAGGGAACAGGCTAAAAGCAAGATTTCTGAATTATATTAATTGAGCCTCTTTGCAACATGCAAATGTTGTTAACTAGTTACCTTCCTTTTAAAATC